TTCTGTTAATTAACCAGCATTTGATCTTTTGTTTAGCCTTATTTCAATACATCAAAATTATCCCACCTTCCAACATGTAAATAGCCCATAAGATACCTGTTCAGGAAGTGGGAAAAATGCAATTTGAATATCAAACACCTTGCACAAAATCAAAGGTTAGCTAAATATTCTAATTCTACTTTCTTAGCATGGCCTGCATGGACGGTATAATATGAATACTTTCAATGCTTATAATTTCTTACTTTTGTATGTATAATTATAATACTGTCTGTGGCAAAGCTAGCCATAACATTTATATTTGCATTATCCAAATGATATACTGTAGCATGACCAGTTGCCATGGCTAGCTAATTGCCACTAAATACTGTATAATATCATATATAGAAATATTAAGTCAGTTTTTGTCCCAATTATTGTTTTAATGCGACCCCTATCACAGAACACCTGAACAATCTGTTTCTGAACAATCAATTAATACATCAGCTTCCGATGACACCATTTATTGTAATGATTAGGATTGTACTCAGTCAGAACTGCAAAACTATATAATAAGAAAGAAATTGTGAGCATTATCAAAAAATATAGTATACCCTGAAATGTAGCAACACAGTCAAGTGAACATATGAGTAGGCCGGTGGAATTATTTCATATTATGCTAACAATGAACATATCTCGGACATATAAACAGACCGTCAAAGAAAAGTCGATCAGTTGACATGCTATTACTGCTAGTAAGTTAATATATGCAGACAAAAATCCACACTGGGTTGCTATATAGGAATCTTATTAAGCTTGATTATTAATTACTGTAAAGATGTGCATACATATTTCGTCAACATCATTTGCCAGTCTCAGCAACAGTGGAATATAATCAATGCGCTCTACCACAATGGGTAGATCAATAGTTTTTGCCTCAATGGGCTCTACCGCAATGGGCAGATCAATAGTTTTTGCCTCAATAGGCTCTACCGCAATGGGCAGATCAATAGTTTTTGCCTCAATAGGCTCTACCACAATGGGCAGATCACGTTTGTTTTGTGCCTTAATGGGCTCTACCACAATGGGTAGATCAATAGTTTTTGCCTCAACGGCTCTACCACAATGGGCAGATCAATAGTTTTTGCCTCAATAAGCTCTACCACAATGGGCATGCAGATCGCTTTTCGTTTGTGCGTCAGTGGGCTCTACGGCCTCTACCACAATGGGTAAATCAATGTTACTTTCCACCACAATGGGCAGATTAATTGTTTATACTTTGTGCACTACTTGCATAGATTAGTCTATGCTACTTGTTTGTGACATCAGATCAATCTCATACAAAAACATGTTCCTACAACATGAAACACTGACAACTTTTGGTAAGTTATCTACAGACAAGAACTCAATACTTGGTTCTAAGACAATTAAGCCGTTATTCAGAGCTCTTAAGTACATTTTGTCCTCTTGTAATAAGACATTGTTAAATGTTGTTTTTGACCAATCGATCAGTGGCATATTTTCGGCTGTTAAAATTACTGATAAACTCATGAAAGCACACTGTTTGCCTCTAGATTGGGCACTAAAAAGGTCATCGCCTTGATGTATATGAGCAGAAAGAAATAAAGCCATACCTACCTGATTTTTCTGAATATTTTCCATCGTTTGCCGTTCGTTTTTAAAAACCTTGATCAACCTTGAGTCTTGACTTGTCGTCTTGTTCTCGAGCAGACGAGCACATTGAAGAAAACATGCGTGCGCAATAGAAAAACTATCTCGACCTCCCCCCTCAAAATAATTAAGGTGCCATAGCTTAATTATTTCCCCGGAAATTCGAAATCCAGACAGACACAAGATCGAGATCTCGACAATACATAGATCGCGCGAAAGACTGGGTCGAGTGGACTCTGGAGAAACCACCGCGTGTTAAGAATAGTGTGCTGCCTCGCTACGCTCGGCAGCAATAAAGCGGTATTTTGTTTTCACTTTTTCATCGCGATCTCGCTTGCTTGCCAATATGTTTATAAATATTGTTTGAATTGCATGCAAGTTCCGGTGATGAATTGGTCATTTCATGGACAACTAAATGTTCATGGTGAGCTTTGCAAATAGAATTACAGAACTACTCGAATGCCATATGTGTATTTTTCCGTCTTTATGCCAATAAGGACCTATAGACAGATTGGTGTTAAATTAATAATCTAATGATACAGTTCATGAACGCCTTGATTTGAACTCATTTATGCATGTGTATTCCAAGTTGTGATAAATGTTTCAGTACTGTATGTTAACCCGATGCTACTAGTACACCATGCAGTAAAAGATAGACCAGAGTTAATCCAAACCCAAGAGATTTGCACATGAGCAAATAAATTGTAATTGTCTATAATATTCCATTTAATATCAAGGAACTTGGGTGATTAAGACTAATTTATACCTAACCTAAACAGAATATGTCTCATATAAACAGTCCCTGTGAATTTTGCAGGGCTAAGGTGATTTTAGCCCTTGAACTCTGCGTGGGAAACATCATTAAAATATTATTTTAATGCATGGTATTTTTAGCATACAACTTGCCCAATATCCAATATGAAAGAAGACAAAGATTGTTTGCTGAGTTGGAACATATTGTAGAATATCACAAAGTATATCACAGTCATTATTAATGGCTTTACTTGATTTATCTTATGATACCAAGAATATTTAAACTCGGTCAATTAAAGGGCTTTTTTCAAATTCAACTAAGGAAACCATATAACGATTGAACTTTTTTACAATTAATTAATAAAAGGTGTAGTATGGTAAGAAGAAATAAGAGTATAATGTAAATAAAACATAAATTTGTTTATCTGGTTTTATGGGGTTTGGTTACGTGATTTCTCTCCTGTTGGTTCATAGGTCACTCCTGAAACATCCATAACCAAATTCGATGTCCTAATACACTTATACTGTACTATATCAGAAACCCGACGGCAGAAATATCCTCTGTGGGAGGAGTGTGGATTTTTTTTTCTGGAATGACCCAGTATAATTAAGATTTATTTTTATAAATAAAATTAAATATATTTCACATGGGATTTTAATATGTCTTTTTTTCTTAAAGACCATGTAAAGTCCGTTCTGCGCAGGCTTGCATTCCAATGGTCGGGACCCGACCGTTGGAATGTTATTAATACTTCGTATCTTTTGAACTTGAATTGAATCTCTAGTCTGTATTCATTTACAAGCATAGCGAACCAGAAGAGTGTTAAAAATTCAGTATAAATAATATATATCTAATCATATTTTACAACTGTAGCACTGAGTTCAAAATGTAAACAAAGCGTTTGTTTACATTACGGACTTTACATGGTCTTTAATAGACCGTTTGATAGAGCTGTCTATACCAATATCTCTCTTAAAACACTTGGCAAAAATCCCATTGTTCGTAAGCGGTTGCTGCGGATATAACAGTGAAATATTGGTGCTGCAAAATGAAATCAAGAACATGGAAAACGGCTCGGTTGAAGAATCAGCAAAAGTTGTTTCAGCATTAGACACTGACACATGGGCGTACCGAGCGGGAGGGGGGGGGGGAGGGACACGACATATCCAAACAAGACAAATCTATCACACTTCTCTGTCATTGCTAAACTTACTACTATCATGCAAAAGTGTGCCTTTTACTTCAGTCAAGTGAGAGCCCCTCCTTTTGATGATTTTATATAACCGTTTTGATAATTTTGAATTTAACACATAAAAACTCTACTTAATCACAAACGAATCCAGAGGGGGAGGGGGGGCAATAATTTGCCATGGGGGGGGGGGGAGCGCCCTGGCTTCAGAAAAATATATACAGATCGTGCAAAGACTGCACACGAGTTAAACCTGAAGAAACGAAAGCGAAGGCAACATTAGCATTGATACTAACCCGTACGTAGTTTCCATAAGATAGCCAACTCTTTCACCCAGAATCTGCAACTGACCTTTCTCTTTGGGTGCATTTTCTACTCTGGCTATTCCAGTCTGAGTTATCATTGTCACGAGCCACTTATACAGTTCTTGATCATCATTCAATAACTTTTTGAACTGAAACGTTGGCATGTTTCCTTCTTCAGACATTTCTGGACCCCATAATTTAATTCCCTTCCTCAAGACACCATCCGGCTGCCCTTCCCCAGGTGGACGATACCTGTTGCAAAGTCAAAATATAGAGTGTGATTTATATTTTTTTAAATCTTTTTTTTTTCAAAAGGAACTGCGATGAGAGCAAAGTTTTAAACAAAACAAATGCCTAAAAGCCTTTCAAAATATTCAAAACAAACCTAAAATACGGAAAAGGGGCTGCGAAGAAATTGCTGTGCCTATGGTTATATATAGTTAAAGAACTGTCTCAATAAGGTTCTGTTGGCGTAAGTCGAAAGTACAAGGTAAATTTTACATTGAAGAATATTTTGTTTTGAACATGCAAAGAGCTGTAAATTTTATTTGAAGATGGCCAGGAGGAATTTTTGACACCATTTAAAACAAAATTAATACAAAGCAGCCCCAGATTTATAGATTTCGAAAATTTCTGTACTTGTTAGTTAAAAAAGTCTACGAAATATGAAAAGAAGTAAGTTTGGACTTCAGTTTGATATTTTCCCGTACGTACAGGCCATACTCTCTTAGTGTGTCAGACTGTGTTATGCTGTAGTAATACCACAGCATAGAGAACTTACAGAAGGTTGCCTTCTTGGGTTCGCTTCACCCCCCCCCCCCCTGAATATATTCAAAATGGTAAATGTTCAGGGGGTGAATGCCTCTTGTAAGCACACTGGCTAGGTACATGGCAAGTTCATTTTGATGGCAAATCGTTTCGAATCATGGCGTGGCGGCGGTCGGGAAGTTACACTTTCTTGGCTGAGTCAGCCTTCTGTGATAAAAACTTTTTAACAAAAATTTAGAGACCGTTACAAATTGCATATACAAATAATTGCTTACTTGTCCGTGTTCTCAATACTAATTTTGTCTGTGCATACGCTCAAAACCAATTTGTGGCATTGCTGGTTGACCCCCAGCAGCGCTACCCAGATATGGGTGGTTGATTCTGATGGGTCATTACTGAACTTGATTGACTGCGCTTAAATATCAACAAACTTTAATTTCAAAATCGAAACAATATTTTCTTGACACTTGATGTTCATTGTAAATTTTACTTTTCTTTATGCTTCAAATGCTAAATTTTCTATGGAAAAATGTTTGTAATGTATTAATGCAGCTAGATAAATTAATTTTAAAATATGATATTCAAACAAATGAAATGGAACAAGGAGTTCAAAATAATGGCAATTCCTGAGCGTGATCTGATTTGTTTATGTTACTTTCAGATAAAATTCAAGTTTTACTAAGGGTCTATATGACCAATCAGAGTTAACTACCCAGTACTAGTATAAGAATTGGAACGCGATCAGGGAATGAGCATGTAAACCCTGCCTCGTACCCAGGCACTTTGGTTTATTGCTGCCGCAGCAAGCGAGCCTGAAGCGAGCGAGCAAGGCAGCAGATCCTAATTTTGTTTTGTGGGTCGAAATCAAAATTTTCCATTTGGCGCATTGCATGACGGTACCAGTGAATTTTAACCGTGGTGCAGCGCGGTCAGGCATAAGGCAAACAGACAATGTGATCGTCTTTCATCTTCTTTTATGGAAAGCCATAGCTGGCTTAAAGTGATCAAACGGCATTTTGTTGAGTGCTTTTAGCATTATACGGTGCATGGTGTTCGGCATTATACACGGTGCTTTCGCCACTATACGCGGTGATTCCCGCATTATACGCGGTGGTTTCCGCATTATACGCGGTGGTTCCAGCATTATACGCGGTGCTTTCACCATTTATATACGCGTTTAATTAATATACGCAGTGGTTCGAGCACTATATGCGGTGCTTTTAACATTATACGCGATGCTAGCTTTCATTCAACATTATTTCCATATTCTTTCCATGACATGTCTATGATTTAACGATTGTTTAAATTTGGTATGTGGTTGACAAATGCTTTTTGCCTATGGTCTGCAAGGACAATGACATGCTTGATGCTTTTCTGTGTATATAAATGAATATAACGCAGCGAATGCGCCACGCAGTATAAACGCGGCTGAAATACGATATTTAATAAAATCCCGAATGTGCCGTATGATTTAATTATGTTTTAGGATTTACAAATGCTTTGTCATTTATTTGTATTTATACTTGTACTGCATCACAAGGCAGTACGTACTGTAAGTGAAAAAACTCCACATGTGAGATTGTCTTGTATATATTTTTGCTTTCTTTGATAAACACTATTAAACACGCAAATTTTAATTAGTGAGACGCAATGTTAAATGTCACCTGCATGTCATTGCCCTTTAACCCCTGGTCTAATTGGCCGCTTTTGAAAATATTGATCATGACGAACCGCACTGCCTTAATTAAATGCAAACTTTGTGTTTTAAAAACGGGTTAGGATAAAACGCGGATACGGACGGACGGATGAATGACGGACAGACCGGACGGATGACATATATATGTCGTTATATAGTCTGTGCGCAGCCGCGCAGGGTAGTTAGTGCCTTACGTCTTCGCTGGTTGTTATACTTTAAAATAATTTTGTATGTACCGAGAAATCAATATTCCGAGTATATAAATATATAAACTGGGATGTTACACTGATAGCTTGTTTACATTTCCTGGAGCATCATGAAATCTTATGTTTAACCACGGTGGTTTAACCCATTAGCTGGCAATGCGCCCTTCCCTTGTCGAGCGCCAGAAGATTTTACTCGTCAGTGGTATAGGGTACTGCCA